ATTATTATCATAGGTGTTATAATTTATACATTACTACTATTTAATTATATTTTTTTATGTGTTCCACCTCTTTCACAACATCTTTGAACAGATATGTTACAATTATATCTATTAGCATTATAGATGTTCATGATTCTTCAAAGGAATAGTTCCTGTACGATCATAGAAATGAAGTGTAGTAAGTGGAGGTTCGGATTCAGATGGGTGACCGCGCATGGGTGCATCATAAAATTAGTTCTCAAATTTATAAAATAAATTTTTTTTTATTATAATTTTGTCGTATATCCTCTGAAATATGATGCTAATCAATAATACTTATTTTCAGAATAAAATTTCAATGAGACTTTAATGAATTTTCTCCATCACTATTACGCTATTAGTGACAATACTTGTCGAATTTACTGATTACATTAGTGACACTAATAGTATATTTTTATGCTGACTAGGTCAATTCAAGATTTTATTTTCAACTCGAAAATTAATCGAAATTGGAATCAAAAATCCATCGAAATCAATAGAAATTTCGAAAACTTTCGACTTTTATTTTTGACATCGAAACGTCTTTTCGAGAAATTATTTTTGACTAGGCACGCACGCACACACACACACGCACGTACACACACGCACGCACGCACGCACGCACGCACGCACGCACGCACGCACGCACGCGCGCACACACACACACACACACACACACACACACACACACACACACGGGACCAGATTCCTGCTACTTCCATGCCATTAATCCTGGATAACGCTGAGAGTAGGACATGCGCATGCATATGTATACGCAAACACTTATATAAAATTAAAAGAGTTAAAATTTGAAATTTAATTTTTTTTCCTTTCTGATAAAGTTTCCTACAATAATTTGTTTCCGAGTTATACTGAGTACAAAAAAAAGTTGTTTTGTAATACCTTCTTTAAATATAGCTTTTGTCAAAAAAAAACGTAGAAATATATTTAAAATATAGATTTGTTTGGAAATCAATAAACTTAAAGACTCATACACTTTTATGATATGCAACCTCTGTTCCTCTGAGCAGTACAAACAGTTTAAAGAAAAAATTTTTTAACTATTTTTCGACAGTCCGCTTTCAACATCCGTCATTTTGTATTACATTTTGTGTTACTCAAATTTGATCTCCAATGGTCCAAATCGAGAGAAATGTTCAAGCTTTAATTGGAATTGTGATTCATCTTGATACTATGATTTTTCATTGAATTATCGCTATTTGAAAATATTAAAAATTTGTACTAAAATTTAGTGGCCCGTTTTTTTTTTGCCGGTGATTGTAGTTATTGAATTATAGGCACTTAAAGTTAGCGAATCATACCGCCTAAAATTCGCATGCTTAGGTGCGGATTTTCCGTTTGTGTCGTATCTAAACTTTAGCCAGTATAATTCAATAACTTTAAGTACTTATAATTTATTGGGAGTACAAATTAGTTCGGTCCGTTTTTTTATGCATTTATTTCAAAACAAAATGAACAGATTAATTAAAGTATTGTCCATCGCTGCCTACTACTTTTTCCCATCTCTCAGGCAATTTTCGAATTCCATCTCGAAAAAATAACTCGTCTATGGAGGCGATTCAATTTTGGAGCCAATTTTCGATTTCTGCGAAAGAAGTGATTTGCTGCATCCTTCGGAACAACCAGTAATCTGAAAGAGCAATGTCCGGAGAATACGGCGGGTACGGTAAAACATCCCATTTGAGCGTTTCCAAATATTTTTTTATGACTTTAGTGACATGAGGCCGAGCGTTGTCATGAAGAAGAATAACTTTATCATGTCTTTGCTCGTATTCTGGCCGTTTTTCTCGCAATGCATGGCTCAAACGAATCAATTGTAGCCGATACCAATCGCTCGTAATGGAATCGCCAAGTTTCAGCAGCCCATAGTAAATAAGACCCTTTTGGTCACACCAGATGCAGAGCGTGAGAGATCTTCGAACCATGAATGTTCGGCCATGGTATTGATGTGAAGCCCGATTGACCGGGCTTAACGTAGTATTTTTTCTTCTTGGAGTTATCGTAGAATATCCACTTCTCATCTCCAGTCACAATCCGATGCAAAAAAACCTTTTCTCTGTTGTCTTTGAATCAGTTGTTCGCCAGTGAAAAATCACCTTTTAACCTTCCTCAGTTTTCAGTTCATAAGGCACCCAATTTTCTTGTTTTTCAATCATTCCCATGGCTCTCAATCGTACAGAAACGGCTTATTGAGTTACCCCCAATGATTCTGCAAGCTCTTCTTGCGTTTGACTCTGATCTTCTTCGAGTAATGCCTCTAATTCTTTGTCTTCGAATTTTTTTGGCTGTCCAGAGCGAGATTTGTCTTCGACGCTGAAATTTCCATCCTTGAAACGTCGAAACCATTTCCTACATGATTTATCAGTTGGAGCAGTGTCATCATAAACTTCGACAAGCATTCGATGGGCTTCAGCCGCACTTTTCTTCTAATTAAAGCAGAAAATCAAAACCTCCCGCAAATGCTGCTTGGTTAACAAAATTCGACATTTCAAACACAGTAAAAATCGAAGTTTTTGTATATAACTCAAAGCGGTATAAACTGAATATTATTAGCAGATGTTTAACCTCTCTGAAATCGCCAAAATCATCTGTCACTGTGTATGAACAATTCACAACAGCTGGAGCTATCTTTAGGGAAACGGATTAATTTGTACTCCCAATAAAATCTATTAAAACCTTAACATTTTGATAATAGAATTTTCGTCTCAAAATAATCTCAGGAAATGATCTCTATCCTTAAGCGTTACGGTCTTTACCCTGCATAATTATGCATAATTATTATAATATATATATTATAATATATTATAATATATATAACCATTTATATATACAGTTTATGTATGTGTGAAAAATTTCTTATTAAAAAACAAATAGATTTAAGAGAAAATGATAAATTTTGCTCGATTTCAGCTGCAGTCGTCAGATTATGTCAGGATCTGCACGATTTTGACTCTCAATTGCTCTCATGTTATGTCAGCGGACTCATCCATCTGCTGACATAACATGTCTATAGGCTTTGTCGAGATCTATAGCTAAATGCGAACACATATGGCTATAGTTATGTAGTGAGAATTTGCTCGAGTTTGCTACTAATTTGCCTGCAATTTGCTAGCATTTTGCTATCAGGGTCACTATTATTTTAATACATATATTGATACAAATATATATATTGATATACCTTAATGTGAGATATGTAGCTGATCGCAATGGACGAGGCAGGCTTTTGCTATTCGTTGTATAGGTATATCCCTTCAACTTTTACTAACATTCATCGACGGATATGGCCTTCTTCATCCATTTTTACGAAAGGAAAGTTCTTTAGCGTTTCATTGTCATGTTAGCATAGACAAATAATCATCACCATCTAAAAACAGTAAATAATATCGCTAATTATGATATTATCTTGTATGATTGTAATTGTGTGTAGAGAAAGTTTTTCGCAGTCAAGAATATATTTCTGAAATCCTTATTACAATAACACATAAATACGCATCAATATTTCACTTAGCATAATTATATAAAATATAAATAATATTAAAAAAGAAAGAAAGAGAGAGAGAGAGAGAGAGAGAGAGAGAGAAAGGGAAAGAGATAAAGAGAGAAAATTATATAGGGTCCTGTAATTATCATATTACCTATTAAAAACGTGTGGACAACGTTTCTCTTTTGAGTTGAAAATATTATACTATTATAATACGAAGATGTTTCCAATAAACATATATTGGTATAAATATATTAAGAATTTTAAGCAGGACCGTACATGTGAATATATCAAATGCGATAAAGAAAGCAAAATTTTGGATGTTACAAATTTTTTGCAATAAATTTCTTACTTTCTTTCTTTTTTTTTTCTAATTTAATTTAGGGGGGGATTATTAGTGTTTCAGAATGATTGTATTGAAATCGAAAGTTATCGGTTCGCAATTATATCTGGACTAAATTGATTTAATAAAAGAATATATAATGTATTATTTATAACATCCAAAATTTGATCGATGGCTTTTTTTATGTATTTGATATACGTTGGTATATTATGCGTTTATCAAACGTTAGTATAAAATTGATTATGTATAAAATAGGAATGCTGAATACTGGATATTCATGAAATATCCGATATCCGACATCTTTTTACTATCCAACCAGACAGCCGAATATCATTAGGTATTTTCTATTTAGTAACAAAAGTCGAATATCTTTCTATTTTTGTTACTCATTGAATGTTAAGAAAGAAAGAATAATGTTTGTGTCGATTTGTGTCAATTTAGTCAATTTTCCAAATGGAAAGCATTAAATTATTATCCGATTGAAATTTTATATGGACGATTTGTATCAATTATCATTAATTCAAGTATAACATCTGCGCAATATGACGATATTGACAATATCGTTAAGAGTTATGACCATAACTCGTATATTCTGTAACTCCTTATACAATCGTTATGAATTCACGACAGTTACGCAGCTTTTTTATTATATAAAATATCTGCGCAACTGTCGTTATGCGCTCATAATAATGCACAACGAGTTACAGAATACAGAGCCTGCATAGACCTTTGCATAACGCATAATGCAGGATGTATAAGGGAATCAATCAATCGAAATTTTTCTTTTCCATGGAAAGGGAAAGAAAAGAGCCTGATTAGTTGATTCGCTTATACACTATACATTATGCGTTAAAAAGTCTGTGCTGAGGTCTTTATAAAATCTCTTTATAAGATCTCTGATGATGATCTCTGATGATCTATTCTTACATCATGATATCATCCAGGATCTCTATATATGTCCACATATATTAATGCTAATATATATACAAGCATGGCGCATTTCTTTCCATCTTTCAGGATTACCATATATGTAATCAATATTATTGGAGACTACGTTTTTCCAAAGAGTTAACAATTCTCAATATTCTGAATTGAATTCTGTCATATCACTTGTCATTTAAATATATAATTTAATTTGAAAAAGTTATTAATTAGATACAGCCCTGAATACAGCTTTAGAAGCTTAATAAGTAATCGCTTCCAAAGCACCATCTCAAAAAACACATGTTGGTACATTATGCATTTATTGAACGTAAGTATGATATAAAATTGGTATCGGCATTATATGGCATATACGTTAAAAAATAGTTCAGGAAATACTAACATTTTATTTACGTATTTAAAATACGTATAAAAATAGTTTATAATATTCTAATTAAATAAATGTTTTTTTAATACGTTTATAATTTGCGAAAAACATTTTTTTAAACAATGTATTAAGAATCATTACGTACTTAAATAGTATATCGTACATATGGATTTTGTTCAGGAAATATTTGATAAGCTAATGCGTGTCTTAGTAGTTGAAAGTTTATTTGAATTATGATTTTATACATAGGAATTCGCAGATCTTCACAACAATGATACGCATTACAATCGCGTCATATTTCTCACACACACGCACGCAAGCACGCAAAAGACCATGTAGATCGCTCGTTTTAATTATGCAGTACTTGCTTCACTAGAGTCCCTAACTCTCATCTTTCGAACTCAAACAGATTCGCATGCCATTTTACTCGGTGCCATTTTCAAATTAACAGTTAAAGGAAAGAAAAAAAAAACAAAGTATCTGTAAGGTATAAAATATTAAACATCTCGCCAGTGGCTTGTAACACAAATAAAAGAACGAATAAGTCGAGCGGCAAAATACAAAATTTCGGGAAACTACGTGAAGGATCCCCTTCGCAATCTTTACATTGACGATCTGAATTAGTCCTTTCCGGGATATACTGCAGTAACTCTTCCTAAACGTGTATAGGAAATGTATTCTCTTCTCATAATAGTATGCAACTTTGATGTTATTCTCCAAAGAATGAGTCCATTTCTGACGTTGTTGGATAATATATTCAATGGATCTCTTCTAGAAATGTTGTCGCATTTTTGTAAGCAATTGATGTCTGGTCGAACGGTTGGTATATCTGATATAAGGGAGGTAGGCTAGTAAACTCATTTTTTAGTTTCGAATTTTTACAGACGAAACTAGAAAAGAGACTTATTGAAAAAATAGTAATGAATTCTGAAACATCAATTACTACATATATTTGATTACTAATATTTTAATAATAAGAGAAATTGATAACTAATATGAAAAAAATTCATTTTTCTTATGCATTTCATCTGATTCAGGGCTAGCTTAGGGATTAGCTCCGGGACTGGGGTAATTTGATTAAGATTGTTAAAATGGAGATTAATGTATTTTAAGCTACATCTTTGGCTACATATTAATAATACTTTTATAAAAATATATTTTAAACACAAACATTCACTTCGCAGAGCAGAACCATGCTTCTTTTTACAAAATTTATTTGTTTCGTGCAAAAATACGTCGAATGATTCTAATTTTCGAGATTGGATATAAAAGAATTAAACTTATAATATTTATCATTGAGGTAAATCTCTTTAAAGAAATAAAATTTTGAGTAAGTACTATAAGAGTCGTCACTAAATGAGTCATATAGTTCCATGCTGTGATTAGTCTACTATCTCTATCCCTTCATTTTTTAAAAACATTAATAATATACGATAACAAAGACACGTAAACAAAAAAAATCTGTTGGATTTTATTAAGTAATATACTTACTATCTAAACAGAAATCAAATATCTCAGACAATCATATACTATAGTAAAACAAAAACTTTAAGAATAAAAATATTTAGATATATGATTTTTTAAAATTAGATATATGATTTTTTAAAATAACATAATTTCTATCATAGATTTTATTCGCAACGAGATGTTACAGCAGACTGAGCGGCAATCAGTGCTGCGTGCTTAGACACGATTACACGTGTCTCGCGTGTTTTGTTTTTAATATAGTCTCGATTATTCTACTTATTCCTATAGTCTACTGATTTCCCCTATTTCCCCGATTTCCCCTATTTAATTCTGACAATAAAGTTAAAGGCACTCCAATTAAAAAGTGATTCGGCGTCAAAGCGGTCAAATCTGTGCCATCTGATATTAGACAGATAGATCTTGAGTTTAGACATGCTTCATTTGTACCAATAACGTAGACAATTTTTTGTATAAATACTAACGTAGCTAAGAGGTGTTATTCCAATAATTTTTCCGTAAATGAGATTTAATAGCGGCCTCCCATAGACCACCCATGTATGGTGAATGGAGGCGGAATGTATGAAAGTCCACTGAATCGAGTTTTCTGTTAGGAAGTCTAATATCTTCGCGTGATTCTCTGGAGTTTATAGTAGATCAGAAACTTCTCATAATTCGTTTTTTGCACCCATAAAGTTTCTTGCATCATTCAAATAAATATTCGCACATTTGCCCCGTTTTGCTATAAATCTCTGCAACACCCTTATAAATGCTGATGTACTTAAATCTATAACTAATTCCAAATGTATCGCACGTATAGTAAAGCAAACAAAGATACACATATAAGCTTTGTCAGATACACATACGAGTTTTATTCTTTGAAACCATTATGATGAACGACCCGCCATAATCGACTGTTAAAAATGACCGACTAACCGTAATACGTGCCGCAGATAAAACATCCATTTGTTAATTTAATGACGGAGATTGTGAACAAAAACATATACTTTCGCAAAACATCTTTACGAATTGGTGCATTAGATAGTCGACCTCCTACTCGTATCAAATTATATTCATCCAAAAGAGGAAGTAATGAGCACAATCTACTCGTTTTGTTCACTTGATTAACCTTAAGTTCCTGATATCGTCAGCAAATTCGTGATACTGTACTAGAAATTAAAATCGTCATCATTGCACGCTCTAATTCCGCAACCATCAATAGCCCTGCAGTCTTCGACTCAGAGTGCAACGTATTTTCCTTCAAGTAATATGCGATTACTCGGTTCAACTTTAAGAGAGAAGAAAATCTTAAGAACAACTCCTCGCTTTCGTTTAGCAATGGAAAACCTTCATTGTACTTCACTCCTCCTTCGCTCCTCGAAGAAGATCCTTATTAAAGAGGATGTCTACATAATTAGATGGTCAATTTTCTATTTTCAACCAGTTTGGCTAATCCATTAAAGTTGACAAAATTATAGTTGATCAAGACGCATTCCTTTTGATATGATATCTGCAGGATTCTTCTTTGAAATTACGTGATTTCACCTCACGTGTTTTGTTAATCGTTGGATCTCAACGACTCTATTTGAAACGAATTGTACCTATCTTGCTGGTTCACTCTTTATCCAGACCAGAGTGATCGTTGAATAAATAGATTGAAACTGGTGAAATTGTTAGTGCTAGAATCAATTGTTGATACAATTTAACTAACAAGAGTGCTGCACATAACTCGAGTCGCGGCAGTGAGATATTCTTCGAAGGTGCCAC